GCTACATCTCACCTGACCGGGCCCGGCTCGAGGAGGAAATGCAGCAGTTGGGAGCAGTCCGCAGCAGAGATCTGCTCCTGATCCCATAAGAGTGTTTTTTACTCTCATGCTGGGACTTGTCCTTCGGTACCGTCGGGTCTGGGGCATGGGCAGTACTCGGAGTGGTGCTCGCTGCCGGTGATGGTCGTTGTACAGGAGAGGGTCCCAGGCCCAGATCCGAGTGTGCCCTCAGTCTCATGGCTTCCTCCATCAAAGTATTTACAGAGGCGGAGCTCTTGAGCTTCCCAGGTGTGAGGCAGGAAGGACTTGCAGATGGAGCAGCGAGCTGTGATGTGTGCCTCGCTGAGGCAGTAGAGGCACTGCTGGTGCTTGTCACTCACAGAGAATGAGTAGTGGAATACACATGGGGCCATCACTCAAAAAGAGGATATCCTATTGGATTCTATTATATATCTATTATATTTTATTATATATAAAAATCTAACTGACCCGTGGCAAATTCATGAATTGATGCTAGTTCATGCTTTCAGTGGCAGCAGAGCCAGTGCACCTGTGCTGCATCAGCTGACCCAAATGAGCTTTAAAAGAGGGCACCTGGACCTAGAGGAGAGGAGAGACCTTGCGAGTCACAGCTAGGAAGCAGGAGCAGCAGCAGTACTGCCCAGAGTTCCTTGGGAGGGGAGGCAGTGAGAACCTGCGAGGTTTAAGGGGGAAAAATCCCCTGGGAGTAACAGCTCAGGGTGAGTTGAAGAACTGTTTTTGATTGTTTTGCTTAAGTTTGAGACAATAAAACTGCCTAAAAGACTGTGGGCATGGCAGTGGATCTTTTGGGGCTGGGGGGAAGCCCAGTTGGGGCCCCACTGTGTTAGATGCTGTGCACACAGCAGAAAAATATGATCCCTCCCCTGAAAGGCTTATAATTTTATAGCCGCTAAATCAAGAATACAGCACAATTTGAGATTAAAATATGACTCCAAGATACCATGTTAACAAAAAACAATTTTTGGGTAGCTAGTTTGGAAGCCCCAATGGTAAAATTTGGAAAAGAATTACAGCGGTTTTGTTGTTTAAGGGGAGTTGCACTGCTGGTCAGAAGAGAGATCTCAGATTACTGAAAACATGTGTATTTGCTGGAAAATAAAAGTTCCTAAAAGAAAAAAAAAAGGAAAATGCATCAGTCATTTGAACAGCTGGAAACATTTTTGGAAACACCATATAAAAGAGGGAGAAATTTTCATTTAGAATCATATTTCCTCTTCTATAATGAGCAGCACAGTGGCTATACAATGCATTCTCAAGAGACTTGATCATGTCTACTGTTTTATTTCCCAAAGATATTCACAAAATAAAAACCAGTGGAGTTGACAAATTGTTTCTTTGCAAAAATCCAAAGCTGGAATTGATTATTAGTTTTATTTATTTCCCCATTAGCAATCCCAAAAGCTAAGAATTTGAGTGAAAACTAATTCAGGTCCACTCTGTTGTGAAAAAACATCCTCTTTGCAGAATGAGAAACTCAAGGTAATCAGCCATAACTCTAAGGGCAGGGCCACAGGAGGAGGGCCTGGCTGTGGCGTCCAACCTGACTGGGAAAGCGGAGTCTGTTTGTCAACCTCACGCTGTGGTCACAAGCCCCTGCATTTTCCTCACTAGCATGAGTACTCTGCACTCTACCCTCACCCTTCCCAGGAACGTACCTATTTCTTCCCTCCCCGCCTCTCCACCCAAGGGCCCTCTTCAGCCTCCATCTCTCACTCTCTGTCTGAGCGGGGTCCAAACCCCAACAGTGACAGTACATGGGCCTTCTACGGACCATGACAATCTGTGGACTAAATGGGCGGCACGGTTTGTGCAATGTGTAGTGTATGCAAGAATGTTGTGTGGCCACGCGTGTGTGCAATTTAGAGGGAACATTGGCCCCAACCAAGATCAGGATCCCATTGTGCTGTACAAACCCTCCCTCTATCATAATCAGTTATTCAAACATGTTGACCTGGATAGACACTGATAGCTTGATCCTCTGGAGAAAACATGTAAAAGAATATTAATTACTACAATCTCGTAATTCAAATCAGCATCCGGAGGTCCTTGAAATATTCCATGAAGTGTTGGTATACTGTTGTGACAACTGGGCCTACAAATTTACCCAAATTGTGAGCTCAACTGTAAAAAGTATGCAAACGTTCATTAAATGGTACAATAACCTATAATAACAATGTTGATGGAGAAAGGTACGAAAGGGAGACAGAATAACTGAATTAGTCTAAATAAAAAGGCCAAGTTGATATAATTCAAGGACTGTGTTGAAATTATGCTTGTTTAAAAAAAGAGATATTGAGCCAGAAGTTAAAGAGCCAGAATTAGTATGTCAGATATAAGGCCTAATCGGTCAACAAAAAAATGAGGGGATGATCTATTCCACCCATCACTCCCTTTCCGGGTCCTTAAAAGAAAGATTTTGTGGGAAAGGTGCAAAAGAATAAAAAGGAACAAAAAGAAGAACAGACGGACGCTACTAGAGTGAGTTGTTGCCACCCCCACAGTCTCTTAAAATCCCAGGCCTGATCCTGAGAGGCGAGCAGACCAGAGAGGGTGATATCCAGATGCCATCACCACCCATACGAGCACCAGCTGAATACTAAACACTACGTGGGCTGACAGTTATTACCATCTTTGATATCATCTAAAAGGCTGTCTGTCATAAAGTGTTTTTTTCTTTCTAAAACTCTCTCCAGCTACAGGGAAAGGGAACAAGGAATCTTGTTAAAACAAGAACACTCTACATTTCAAATGCTTTAACTGTTTTTCCTTCTTTTCTGTTTCTTCAATAAAAGGTTAAAAGGATTTTTAATGGTGTGTTTGCCATGGTACTAAGCAAGCTGAGGTCCCTGCATACTGAACCCTGAACCTTGTTTAACACTGTTTAACGTTGTAAAGTGACTGGTTATGTTAACACTTTTGGCCCATATATTCCATCTAAATTAATACAAAAATGCCGACGCTTATTATGGTATCCTTTGAGAAGTCTGAGTCCTTATAACATGTGGGTGGGTGGTGTTGGCATCTAAATCCAGAGCAAATAGTCTAATTTTCCTAATAATGCATTTTTTCCTCATTTACTTTATAAAAAATGTTTAACTACAGTATGGTAAATTTAAAAGAGTTGCACACACTTCCTCTTTAGGGATAAACTAAGTACAGAATGTAATACATTAGATATGAAACAGACTACACTCACAGGAGTTAACATGTTGACCACTATTGAAAATGTACCCAATATTGCTATGTCAGCAAAGAAATTCCATATTTAATTAAAAATACACATGGTTTAAAATAGTTAAATATCAGTTAGGAATAGGATTGCTGTACTAACAATTTAAGCACCAGTAAATGTCCTGAACACACACAGTAGAACCTCAGAGTTACAAACACCAGAATTATGAACTGACCAGTCAACCACACACCTCATTTAGAAGCAGAAGTACGCAATAAGGGAGCAGTAGAGACACAAAAAAACAAAAAATCCCAGTATAATACTACGTTAAACGTAAACTACTAAAAAAATAAAGGGTAAGCAGCATTTTTCTTCTGTATAGTAAAGCTTCAAAGCGCTATTAAGTCAATATTCAGTTGTAAACTTTTGAAAGAACAACCATAACATTTTGTTCAGAGTTACGAACATTTCAGAGTTATGAACAACCTCCATTCCGTCTGACGAAGTGGGAATTCACCCACGAAAGCTTATGCTCCAATACATCTGTTAGTCTTAAAGGTGCCACAGGACCCTCTGTTGCTTTCTCCATTCCTGAGGCGTTCGGAACTCTGAGGTTTGACTGTACCTCAACATCACAAGCATCCAATGAGTACCAAAGTGGGAGGGAAAGCATCCAAGATGTGACACCATTTTTCAATGCATGTAAAATTGTGACTTATTTCACAAGCTATATCAAATACGACTTAATTACGGTTTGTCCCATAAATGAAAAATAAATTAACAGCTTTTTTTCTCTTCTTCCACTTTCTCCCCATATTTTTTTTTTATGTTAAACACCTGATACCTTACCCAACTCTCGTTCTCTGTCATCTCTTCCCTTTTCTATTTCCTCCTGCAAGTCCTTTGTTTTCTAAGTTTGTCTTTTCTTTCTCCCGGTCATGAAGCTGAATTCCATTTTGGTGTTTGTCCCTTAGTTCTTCATTCCACTTCTCTTTTTGGATACATACTTTTAGTCCTTAACTCAGTCTTTGTTCTCTTACTTTTGCTTACTCTCTCTATGCCACTCCTCCATTTTGAAATAATTTAGGAAACCCACTCTCTCCATGCTTTTTTTCGCTCTCTTAAAAATTTTCTTCCCTCCACATCCTTAGCGTTTCCTTCACTCAACTTTTTCTTTCCCTATATGCTCCCCGGCCCTCATTCCATTCCCCATACAGGCTCCCATCCTCACTTCTCCCCAGTTTCTCTTCTCTGCACAGCAAATCAGGCTGTTTCTCTCCCTTCCCCTGATGCAGAACATCCCATAGTCTTCTATAAAGAACAGGGTGAAAAAGCTTGACAAGTACTGATGTAGGCAGGTGAGAAGGAACCATGCAAACAACCCTGAGTCATGATAGTTTTGTGCTAATCCTAAATTTAAATAAATTAAATTTAAATTAATGGAGATATCCTATCTCCTAGAACTAGAAGGGACCCCTGCCTTCACTAGCAGGACCAAGTACTGATTTTGCCCCAGATTCCTAAGTGGCCCCCTCAAGAACTGAACTCACTACCCTGGGTTTAGCAGGCCAATGCTCAAACCACGGAGCTATCCCTCCCCCAAATTCAATAACTGTGTACTGAAAGAGGTCTCATTCCTACCACCCATCTTGGTGAAGGGCTGGATTTCCAGATAGCCATACACTCATAAGGTACATTCAAAGAGCATATTCCCAACAGTCTTCTTTTACAAGTCCACTTGAAACATTAGCCCATCATCTTCTTAAATAAAACCACATACAATCCATTAAAACAAACTATTTATTTTAAGATTCTACAAATAATAACTTTGTTTTTATAGAGGACCAGTCTTAACAATGATGGACATAGTACTGCCGTGGCTATTTGTTTCTACTTCTCAATGAACAGCTGTGAAACAAAAAACAATCAGTTCAGTTCCATGTTATTCTGAGTCCATGAAGAACGTTTCAAAGTCCTGATCCAAGTCTGAAACAAGGGCGTTCACAAAGTCTTCAACAGAAGGAGACTTCTGAAGCATACCTATGGAAAGGAGCACAAGAAACTCGCAGTGAGAATCGCACCAACATGAAAGCCTTGACAATGTTTACCTGAACTAATTTGTGTGTGTCATACTGAACTGCTCCAGTACAGCTGTCATGATTTTTCACCAAGAAGCATACGAACATTCAACATGGGGATTATTTAATCAATCTACTTCCTACCTAGCTATCTGGCCCTTATCACAATAGTATCTGAGAGCCTCACAATCCTCTCAACACCACTGTGAGCCAGGAAGTATTACCCCCATTTTACAGATAGGGAAATAAGGCACAGAATAGAGTAAATGACTTTGGTAACACAGGAAATCTGTGGCTGAGCAGGGAACTGATCACAGATCTACTGAGTCTCAGGTCAGCACCCTATCCACTAGACCATCCTTCCTACTCTGATTTAGAAATGCCAGATGATCAAACTGTCACTACGTACTACATATAAAAATCAAACTGTAAATGGATTTACATTTTATCCCTTGGAAAACTCCATTTCTCTTCCACATTCTCTAACAACTCTCATGGTATTAACGCTCCCCCCCCCCATCATTAATATACATGCATAACCTAAGCATGTCACATAACCTTCTAGATATAAATCCTGTCACACCTTCTCCTCTCCCTATCTCATTTCTCTTGTCTTCACTTGTCCTATTATGTCCAAATTTAAGGCTCAATCCTGCAAAACATGTATCAAGCTTTCTTGAAGGTGGGGACCATTTCTTACTGGCTTGTTAAATGCGTCACACCCTTATAGTGCTGACTAAATAATAAGATCATGTGGGTCTAAGCTTGTTTAATTTCTATAATACAAGAATTATGTTCCTATTTTACACAAATTTAGAAATGTCTAGTCTTTGTAAAGACTCTATAGTATTGTTCCTGAATACAAAATTTTACTTGCAAATTTTGCAGACTCTTTGCTTGGGGGGGAAAAATAAATCATGTCATCTCAATTAACTGCTTTGCTCTAATCTGATTAACCAAGAAGATTCTATCTGTTCAAATCAGAAAGTTTCCCTGTGTGCAGTGGAATTTAGATTTTAAACAGTCAACTCACAATGGATTTTTTAAAGGAAAAAACGTGTTTTCTATAAAGCATCAGAATATACTGTCTAAATTATTTTCAGCTGTTTCGCTGTAATAAAAATGCATTAGTTTGCATTGTGTGAGTTTATCAATTATTAATATTTTAAACACTTTAAAAGGAAATTACATTACTTGTATTGGAAAACGTCAAAAACAGCTAATTCAGAGCCAGTTAGTGTAAAATATAAACTTTGTGGTTCTTTGAAGTGATTCACATTCTTACTGACAAAACTGCCAATGTAAATATAACCTTGCTCAACCCTTTACTATAGGCACACATAGTGCACATCTTCTTACATTCTTTCACATCCTTAGACCATTTGGTTTCAGTGGGAATAATAATTGCAGCATTTATGAAAAACAAAATCTTTCAGTGCATCTTGTAATAAAATCTGACTGGAGCCAACTGGCTTCATTAGACGTTTCTTGTATGTTAAGTAATTGCTAAATACAATAGTTCAAAAAGCAAGAAGAAAGAAAGTCTCCAGGCAATTTTGGATGGTTACTAAAAGACTTTCCTAGTTAGGATCTCACAGCATCCTGATTTTAATTAGGTTTAAGTGTATATTGCAAGTGTCAACATGAACTGCCATGACACAGTTGATTAATATCAAGCATTAAAAGAAAAAGAAAAGGTTCACACTGCAGATAGAATTAAAATGCAGTCAAGTAACACTTCTATTCAGATATTTTCAATATCAAAAGGAGCAGAAAAATGGTTATTTTTAACAACCTGACACACTCATTACTTTTCCCTTTAGCACAATAGGGTGTGGCTTGCACCTTTAGTTCATAAAGACAACTGAGCGACTTTTGCAGTACAGTATATGGGTGTGGCTTAGAGAAAGACCTACTTGTTTGTACAAATCAGTTATGGTGGATGGAAAAACAAACTCCATCTTGAATGAAGACCTGCAAACAGCAAGATGTCCGACTCTATCCCAAAGATACGTGCTCTGTGCATGGAAGGGATTCACTGTGTGTGGGTCTCCTCCTCCCAAGTGAGTTGGGCTGGCTGGAGGACAAGTATATTGCCACACTATCAGCCATGGAGAACCCCCCCTCTCCCCGAACAATACAGCCAAAGCTGGTACTATTTTTCAGCAGCTCTTTGCAGGGGGAATACCCCTGTAAGGAGGCCTCAAGGGGCAGCTCCCAACTGACAAGCCTGCAAGCACGGCTCCATTGCAACTTAACTGTGTGAGGGGAACAGGGGCAGTCAAGCCACTAAAATCCCTATGGCCTGTCCCTCTAACAGAACCATTTCCCCAGTACCCTGCACCCCCTTCCTGCCAGATTTTCCATGGGAAAGGGTGATCAGGAGCATGTTAACAGGACACATTGACTTTTCTGATATCATGTAAAAATAACTATGGACAAAGAATATGTAAGAAAATACTTTAAAAATTCATTACAAACACAATCAGCCTGTCCAGAGGACATACATCCAGGGTGTCAAAAGTATTAGCTGACAAACTTATAGACCACTGACAATTCTCCTTGAAAAACTGACAACCAGGTATGCAAAGAAAAAAGAAAAACAAATACAGTACCGGTTGCTTTTCAAAAAAGGAACGAAGAGCGATGCTAGGAATTACCTTCAAGTAAATCTTATTTCTTACCTTAGTACAATAGCAACACAGTAAAAATTCTACCCTATGGAAATTACAAAATGTGTGACTAAAGGGAACACTATAATATAGTTGGATGTTTATAAAGCTAAACAGTCTAAAAAACCTTATTTTAAAAATCATTGTGAATTATTTCAAATTGGCTTACATAAGGATATTAATGTAGATCCAAAATTGGTTAAAAGGACCATAAAAAAGGAAAGAAAAGTACCAGATTTTGTTCCAAATAAATTATTTTAAATACCCATCTTCAAGATTCTGGAATCAGACACACAATCGTAATTTTAATTGGCCCTCTACACAGTAGTTGCATCATTTGAGAATGCAAATAGACGTCTCTCATTTATCACTGCGATGATATACTGCATGGTGGTTGTTCTTTCAACAGCACCCAGCCCCGTGACAACAGCTGCTTTTAAGGTACTAGAGGAGGCGGGATCAGGAATATCTGCAGAATAAATTCTACCAATGCAAAAAGAGCACGCCCTGATTAAATAAAGTACTAGAGATTCTATTGTAAAGATCCAAAACACTGTAATTTAGAATAATCCTACTGCAGTGTTTGAATCTATTACTGCATAGAGGAGGATAGACTACAAGATCATAATGGTCTCTTTTGGCTTTAAACTCCATGAATATCTGTATTACAATATGTACACACACAACACTCCAGTCTAAATTATTTAATGAGATATCCACAAAGACTGACGGTTGCAGTTTTTTAAGCTGAGAGTATATTTCGTAACTTCAGCTTGACTCCCATTTCAGATCAGTCTCTCCCAAGCCTAGGGCAGCTGTGTTGCTCTCCTTCTGTGCTTTGAAGTTCTCTTCCACATTACAGCCCTGTGGTTAACCACACCCTTTCTGGGGATGGTTAACCATAACCTTCAATCACCTGTAATTGGGAAAATTATAAAAAACCTGTGGTCTCTGTCCCTCTGAAACACCGTAATTGTTTTGGCCTTGTTTAGTTTCGGCCAATGTCTACTGCTGTTCATAACTGATATTATAACAGCACTAGCATTTATATAAGCTCCTTATACATTAAAAGAGATGGGCAAATATTATCTAAAATCTTTGCAATAACTCCAAGAGGTGAGTACAATTTTACACATGGAGATACAGAGATAATAAGGGCCTGATTTGCAAAATTGCACAGGAGCAACTACATGCCTAATTTGCATATGTGATTACTTTGCACATGTATATTGGGTATTCGTGCACAGAAGTGGATAATTAGGTATCTGCCTACAATACAGTCACTGTATGAATGGCTTAGGAACACAACTTCACATCTATTTTGCAAGTGCACTTTTTAAAAATCAGTCTCTAGGAGGCAGATTTTCAAAGACAAAGAACAGTTAGGTTCTGAACTCCGCTTTGTGCTCTCTCTCAAGATTAGAAGATGCTAAGTTAGACAAAGAGTCAGGTCTGGCTTCCAGCTGTGTGATCAACCCACTACACTATGTGGCCCCTGAGCACCATCCTACCCATTTATTCTGAAGTGCTGCACACTGGGATTTCATGATACAAAGCAAAGCAGGGATCAATAATGTCTACATTGACACTTGGCAGAGGTGGACGAATGGATTTTATGCCATAACTGTATTTTTTTCTTTAAATACCAAATGATGGCCTCTTGAACAAAACAGCTGAAGTTATTTTCTATTTGTGGTTCCTACAGTACATATTTGTATCTAGTAAATAATTGGTCATGCAACAGAGTTAACGTCATGAGAAGATTTTGAAAGGACTTCATGGTGACACTGCATCTTTTAAAATAGTAATGCACGTTGCTGTTACTGGTGGGATTCAAATTCAAGCAAACAGATGTATAAATCTCAGGTCCTTAATTAAAGGCCCAGTCCAAAAGGAGTCTCTTCACTGATTTCAGTGGAAGTTGGATCAAGTCCTACATCTTCCTTATCAGTGAATCTGAAGGATCATGTGAGAGAAAGATTGAAGCTAGGGCTATATCTAAACATTTAAAAAATAAAAATGAGAAGACGATACAATCTGAGAAGCAACACTACAACACTGCAATAAAGAAAGTGAACAAGTGAAAGAATGTGTCATATTAAGAAGGAGATTTTACCAAAGAGTCAATGGAAATGATTAAATATGGCCAGCTTAGCACTGACACGTGCATTAACGTGCTTTAGAAGGGAAGAGCTTTGTGTGTGTTTAACCAGTAGTCAGACTTGCACAAGCATAAATCTACCTAAAAGTTAGATCTTGAAATCAGAGCCTAGAAAATTTAGACTTGTGAAATGTGGCACCTATTATCAGAGAATACTGAAACTTCCCCCATAAGAAAGTAGTGTCAGCAAGAGGTCACTATTGCTTGGTGGTAAAGGATGTATTTGGAGGAGGTGTGTGGAAATAGCATTTCTGCAGTTGGAGGAACAGTGTTTTGGAATGTCTTTTGGGAGGAACAGTGTTTTGGAATGTCTTAACGAAGAGGAGGATGGTGAGAGAGACACAAAAAGCTCACTGAAAAGGGTAACTGGATGATATTAAGGAATGACAACACATTAGAGTAGCTGACATTACTTTTCTGTTTAAAATCTTATTTCTGTACTAAATATAGAATGATGGGGACAGGAGAGTAAAAAGCTTTCACATATGTACAGTCCACAGTATTCATAACTGTTGCAAGATAAGCAAAGGAACTACCTAACCTCACATGGGTATGGCATAAAATGAAAAGTCAGGGTGACAAACCAAAACTGGACCACTTCATTTCAATAAAGGTTTTCATTTTCAGTGACAATTATTCCATCCCTCTACTGGGACACGTTTTGCCTTTTTTTTTTTTTTTTGATGAACTATTTTAGCACTAAAACAAGAACCCTACATTAAGTGAAAAGAAGAGACGATTTTCTCTGCTAATTTGTATGACTTCATCGATCTTTAAAAGCTCTCTTTTTAAAATCATCTTAAAGAACAACTAGAAAAAATTATGTAAGTACACACGGTGCCAGTGAATTTATCACTGCATAATGCTGATTGTTTATTCAGCATTCTTACTGCAAGTATCAATTATGCTCATACTGACAAATAGGAAAGAGGTACTGTTATCTGATTATTGTTATGCCTGTACAAACACAGACTAAATGCAGCTCTACTATTATAGTGCTTAATGTGACATAATAAGATTCAATTTAGTTTTTAAGGTTCCATTTATTTAAATAAAATTTGAAAAGGCAAACAGACTACATTTTACAAGTGACCATGCTCACTTTTCTCCCCCATTATCTGCTTTCCTTATAACAGTCTATATGACTTTTTTTCCATATTGCCCCCTACGCATGGCAGAGCTATGGATGTCAGGGTGCCTTAACTGTACATTTCTATATTTAAACATATTTGGATTTATTTTAAATGTAACCTTAACGCTGAATTTCCTGAAATTATAATGCTTCTTTTTGGAATAAATATACCATTTCAGGAATGAATTTTACCCTAAAATTACTGATACATACTCTCAACCGCAACTCAACAGTAATATATTTTTGTCTGGAAATATAAGCAAATAAAATGATGTACTCCCATAACAGAAGGGAAAACTCATGTGCAGTTATGCATGGTTTCATGTGCTTCATCAATGGAAACATCTTGTAGATTTCTTTATTCAAATAATATTTGAATCAGAGACTTGATTTAAGAATGCAGTTTATGTTCTTGTCTGCACCAAAAGGAATAAATACGAGAAGAGGATTCTAGAAGGGATACTGATCAAAACCAAATTTTGTTACAATCTTCAACCTACCTTTATATTGAGAGTGCATTATCAAAGTGCTGACACTACCTGAACTGCTTTGGTGCTATCAAAGTGACACTGAACAAAAGATTTCCTATTTCCACATCAGCAATATTTAGAATGATGGCCTTTCAGTTAATATATAGGTACAAATCAGTAAAATGAACTTAAAAAAAAATTAATGATGGTGTATCTCTCCTTTTTCAGAGCATCTGACTGGTACCTTTGAATTCTATGGACCACTCTGAAAGAGATTCCTTTCCAACACCTTATTCCCCTGCTGTTTGGATCTCAAAATATTTCATTCTTGGTATTACCATGAGTTCTAGTGATCCATGAAGCATTATTTGAGATCTAGTCTATTAAATTAGGTAAATCTACTCTACATATCCCCTTTAATAAATCCTATGAAAACGTTGGTTAAGTACAAAGGATTGGATAGGGAAATATTCTTAAATTATTTATTGCTATCTAATCGCAACCACTAATATTTGCAATGGGGAAAGAGGGCGGAACAGGGGGAGGAAGGCCACAGAAACAAAACAATCCTCCTTTTTCTTTTACCTTGAACCATGAGCATGGGCTCTTTTCCACCGCCATGTGCCAGCATCTCTCTGCGATAACGCTCACCCATTGCCCTGAAGGAAAAGACAGATAATATTACAGCCACCTGCATACACAACCCGTTCAGCTTTCAGTCACACTTGTCTCTGGTTTCTTTACAGAACAGACACAGTTATAGATCTAATAAAACCTGCCACCTTTAGACAATGGCTGCCTTCATCATATACTGATTAGAGAAATACACACTATTTAAAATTATGCAAGAATGAACTAAGCTAGATAGATTTAATATTTACAAAAACTATGTTGTTTTTATGCAATATTGTACTTTGCAAAGAACTTGTTAAGTCTTCACTGTTGTCAGGGGCAAATTAAGAAGTCTCTGATATAACTGCTTAGAGCACTTAGCTATGGTGTAAGAACAGTTTGGAATTTGTCATTTGCCAATATATCCAAAGAAGAAGAATATGACATAAGATTTTAAAATGAAAAAAGTCAATTTGTCAAAATAATACAAATAAGAACTAATGATTCCATTTCTACTGTGGATTTTCTTCCTTACCTGCATGCAATATCCCACTTCTGCACTGTCATGGGGCGACTGGTCCCTTTCATGGGAATCAGAACCCAGTCTGCCCACCACTGCCTTCTGAAAGCCCACATGGGAGTAACTGACTGCCCTGTGGTTATTAAAGTAAATAAGCACTGGACCTAATAAAACGGTTATGCGAGCTTAGTTAAGCTAGGTACTCTTGGGGAGAAAGTGCTTCTAGACATAATGCTATCACAGAGAGAAGGTGAGCTCCTAGGGACAGGAAGCTCCCAGGACAGCTCACTGGGGTAAGGAGCCTAGAAGGTATACTCCGCTCCTAGAGAGAGGAGATCTCAACAATGAGACCTACAATTGGCAGGCCACTAGGAAAGCCTGGTCCCAGCAAACAAATCTCCCAAATGGTGGCAGGAAGCCCAGTCTATCAAGAAATATGGGCTCTCCTGGAGAAGAGCTGCAGTTGGCAGGTCTCCGCAGACACCTAGTTCTAGGGAAAGATTCTAGTCCATGGACTCTAGGAAAGGGACCTGCTTGTAAAGGGCTTGGCCCTGGACAGAGGCGAGCAGTGGACTCAGATGGAACAAATAAGCTAAGATTGAGCTGAGAGTCAGACAGGGGGATAAAGGTTTTGCTTATATTTTGTGCTGGCCTTTTCGGTCATTAAATGAGACCCTCCTCTGTGTGGCTCAAATCTTCTCTCTCTCACCAATAGAAGTCCAATAAAAGATATTACCTCGCCCACGTTGTGTCTGTAATATCCTGGGACCGACACGGCTACAACTACACTGCTATATCTTCTAGCCACATTTAAATAACAGTTTTCTAAATGCATCAGGAAATGTTTTTGCTTATTGCCACCCAGTGGCACACATCCTGAACAAATACAGAACTTCCTTGTTTTAGGAAATCACTATTTGAATGTTAAATACAGTTTTGGCCCAAAACTAAAATAGATGTCAAAATGGATGACAAAAGTCCTAAAAGGTACTCTCTCAATTGTAGTGAGATTTTGATAGCTCACAAGATGTTCAAATTTTGTGCTACCTCAGTACAAATAAGCAATACCCCCCCAGTGTAGTCTGTCTAGATAAGCTGGAAGTTTCATCCAACAAACAAAACAAACAAACAAACAGTTAGATTCTCTGATATCAGCCAAATATAACACATTCAGGTAAAAAGCTTTACAAATTAAGGCAAACAGTTTCAAATATAGGTATCTAAATTTGAACGTGTGAATTTATTTGCTTATAGGCGGCTGTTATTAAATATATTTATTTATGGTAGTACCTACAGTGTGGTAGGTGCTTCCCAAACATTCAGGAAGAAACAGTATTTGCTCCACGGAGCTCACACCGTAAGGAGACAGACTAGTAGAAAGAGGCTAAGAGAAGCAGAATAGGCAACTAATGTACAAGTCAGCTCGACTGATTGTAAGAAGCAGGATAAAATTGGTCTTCAAGAGTGACTTTGATGTTGGCAGGGTAGGGAGTCTTGCAGATGAGCTCAGGAAGGCTGCATCATGCACAGGATACTGCACAGAAGGCGGCACGGAGGAGACTGGACGAGAAACTAATAAACAAGCAGATAAAGCTGTGTATACTAGCCGAGCAGAGGGATGCAATGCAAAGCTTGAAAGGGAAGATGACTATGAAGAGCTATGTGGAGCTTTGAAGGTGATGACAAGAAGCTTGTTTAATACTGACAGCTTCTTCTATGTCAAATAGAAGTGACAGGTATTTAACACTTTTGAAAATCAAGCTCTTTAATTAGATGACTACATATGGATTTTGGTGCCTCCCACTTGGCACCTACATTTTAAAATGCTGATGCCGTATTCTTTGCATCAGTGAACATGTCCTACAATTCACCTTATCATCTGTGGTTATGTTATATTTTGCTATGTTTTTAAAATCAAAATATTTAGAAAAAACAATTAAAATGACATAAAAAAATCAAAATGTTGCTATAAGTATGACAAGCAAATTTTCTGCTTCCCAGAGTTAGCACGCCATTCAGGTCTACTTCATGCACTCTCTCTTTTTACCTGTCAAATGGGTTCTGCACAAAACACTGTTTCCATACCATGGAGGCAATGGCCCTGGACATGAGGTAGGAGTAGTACTTGGCACCATATCCCACTAGATGGCTGAATCTCAGCTGCCATGCCTATAGGGAAAAGAAAACAGAATGGAAATCACATCACTTATATCCTTCCGATTATTTTGAGAACTTTTTATCAAAGATTGCAAGAGTTATATACTGAATTGGTTCATATATTACATTGACAGAAATCTGACAGTATTAAGGAGAAACAATGAAAGAAAAACTAATGTGTAGAACCGCATTCTAATAAATATTTTCTGAGCTAAAGACTACATTTTTCCGATGCTAATCATTATAATTAATATTATGAGCAAACAGAATCAAAGGCACAGAAAACTGTAACCAGTAAAAATCTCAGACATTTAATAATATTCACATTGTTTCTATTTGGTGTTAAAAGAAAACCACAATTCACTTGTTACAATTAACACCACATTTTTCCACATGGATAATTACAGTGTCACACCTGAAAAAGTTAAATCCATGAGCTTTTGCCAAAAACAAAATTATAGTAGAGACTTGTATATGTAAAGTACATCTTCCCACATGCCAAAGTACAAGCTCAGAGGTAAATGAACTACATCCACATGACATACCATTGTTCACAGATTTGTTTGTATATTTATAGCAGATTGTAAGTATACTGTTATTTGTCTATAAATTGTTACTTAGTTTTATGACTCATTCCACTGTTGCTGGACTCCTTTCTTTTACTTAAGTAGAGTACTTCCCTATTTCGCTCCATTTCTTTACCTTGGAAAATTGAAATGATCAGCTCTACTCTCATAGAAACAGAGTTTATGTTCTCAGATTTCCCCTGCCTGTAATGTGAAAAGGGGAGTAGAATTAAATTGAAAAGACATACTGTTTCCCTGCAGTCTTATATGCTTCTTCAATGTAAGATGGCTCCATCTAGCAATGGATCAACAAGAAACCGCTTCTCCCTTATTGGCTCCTTCTCAGGAAACGAAGAGGGAGTCAATTCAAAGATGTCATTTGTCCTGTTCAAACAGGATCAGAGATCTATGATAATCATAGAAGTGTAGGGGATCTCTATAGGTCACCTAGTCCAGTGCCCTCCACTCAAAGCAGGACTACATAACAACTAGGCCATTCCTGACAGGTATTTGTCTAACCTGTTCTTAAAAACCTCCAATGACAGAGATTCCACAACCTTCCTAGGCAATTTGTTCCAGTCCTTAACTACCCTGATAGCTAGCAAGTTTTTCCTAATGTCTAACCTAAACTGCCCTTGCTGCAATTTAAACCCACTGTTTCTTATCCTATCTGCAGAGGTTAAGAAGAACAATTTTTTACCCTCTTCCTTGTAAACCCTTTTATGTACTTGAAAACTGTTGTCTCCCCCTTCGTCCTCTCTTCTCCAGACTAAACAAACCCAATATTTTCAATCTTTCCTCATAGGTCATGTTTTCTAGACCTTTAAATCATTTTTGCTGCTCTTCTCTGGACTTTCTCCAATTTGTCCACATCTTTCCTGAAATGTGACACCCAGAACTGGACACAATATCAGTGCAGAGTACAGTGGAAGAATTATTTCTCGTGTCTTGCTTACAACACTCATGGTGATACATCCCAGAATGATGATAGTAGGTTTTTTTTTTGGGGGGGGGGGGGGGGGTTGCAACAGTGTTACCCTCATATTTAGCTTGAGATCCACTATAACCCCCTGATCCCTTCCTGCAGTACTCCTTCCTAGGCAGTCATTTCCCATTGTGTAGGTGTGCAATTGATTGTTCCTTCCTAAGTGGAGTATTTTGTATTTGTCCTTGTATTTGTCCTAGTACTTTGTATTTCATCTTATTTACTTGAGACCATTACTCCAGTTTGTGCAGATAGGATTAAAATTCAAAACAATCCTCTAAAGCACATGCAACCCCTCCCAGGTTTGTAGTTTCCGCAAACTTTATAAGTGTACTCTCTTCATGTGGGGGAGGTGGGACCGAAGGGTTCAGAGTGTGGGAGGGGGCTCCAAGCTGGGAAAGAGGGTTGGGGTGCAGGTGGTGCGGGCTCTGGGGTGGGACTGGCGATGAGGGGCTCAGGGCTGGGGCAGAGGGTTGGGGGTTCTGGGGTGGGGCCGGGGATGAGGGGTTTGGGGTGCAGGAGCGGGCTCAGGGCTGAGGTGTGTGGGGAGGTTCTGGGGTGGGGCCAGGGATGAGGGGTTTGGGGTGGAGGAGGGGGCTCAGGACTAGGGCAGAGGGTTGGGGTGCAGGGGTGTGAGGGCTCTGGGGTGGGACTGGCAATGAGGGGCTCAGGGCTGGGGCAGAGGGTTGGGGGTTCTGGGGTGGGGCTGGGGATGAGGGGTTTGGGGTGCAGGCTGCTCCGGGGCTACGGCGGGGAGAGAGGACTCCTCCCAGCTCTCTCTTCCTGCAGCAACACCTGGGCTGGAAGGGAGGGAGAGGCACCTCTCCCTGTCACAGCAGCTCTGGGGTTGGGGCCACGGAATAGGTGCCTCTCCCCCGGACTCTCCCCATGCCACGGTAGGTCCGGGGCTGGGCTGGGGCCAGCGGGGAGAGGCGCCTCTGCCTGCCATGGCAGGTCCAGGCCAGGTTGGGGCCAGGAGAGGGGTGCCTCACCCCTGGCCACGGCAGGTCCGGACCGGGGCTGGAGGAGGGGTGCCTCTCCCCCAGCTGCGGCAGGTCCGGGTTGTGGGGAGAGTCATCTCTCCCCGCCGCAGTCCTGAGCGCCTATGCAGCCTTGGAGGGAACTGAGCTGTTTTCCCTCCTACCATTCCTTAGAACCATGAATGCGATCATTTCATAATCACTGTCACCCAAGCTGCCTGTCAGTTTCAAATTCTCAACCAGTTCCTCTCTATTGGTCAATATCAAATCTAGAACAGCCTCTCCCCTAATTGCTTTCTTCACCTACTGAAATTAAAATGGTCTCCAATGCATTCCAAGAACTTGTTGGATAATCTGTGCCTTGCTGTATTATTTTCCCAACAGATGTCTGGGTAGTTGAAGTCTCCTATCACTACCAAGCCCTGTGTTTTGGATGATTGTGTTAATAATGTCTAGGGAATGCAACATCCTCTCCTGTTTTGGAGGTTCTGACAGAAAGAAGGGTTAACTCTTGGTAAATATGGAAAGGAGAAATCTCCCATTAGGGGACTATGTTAAATATGCCCAATGGCCTGTGATGGGATGTTAGGGGGGTGGGGATCTGAGTTACTACAGAGAATTCTTTCCTGGGTGTCTGGCTGGTGAGTCTTGCCCACATGCTCAGGGTTTAGCTGATCGCCATATTTGGGGTCGGGAAGGAATTTTCCTCCAGGGCAGATTGGCAGAGGCCCTGGGGGTTTTTCGCCTTCCTCTGCAGCGTGGGGCACGGGTCACTTGCTGGAGGATTCTCTGCACCTTGAAGTCTTTAAACCACAAGTTGAGGACTTCAATAGCTCAGACAGGTCAGGGGTTTGATACAGGAGTGGGTGGGTGAGATTCTGTGGCCTGCATTGTGCAGGAGATCAGTCTAGAAGATCATAATGGTCCCTTCTGACCTTAAAGTCTTCATGAGTCTATGAGTAAGCCACTTTGTCCTGTGGTGACCTTATGAAAAATAAGAAAACATTACCTAGAATACAGGACAGCTAATTTCTCTATGAACCTTGCCAAGGTTAAGGCTACAAGAAATGCTGTTTTGTATGCAAGTAGCTTTAGGGACACAAAATGTATTGGGGTAGAAGGGATGCATTAGGAGGATCTTGGACTCAAGATTAAGGGACTAATTCCTCTCACAGCAATTACCCCGTTGACTTCAATGTAGTTAAATCTGGTGTAAAGAGATAACATCCCCTGAGGTTCCAGGTGCTGGATCCTGATCATCATATTGGAGAGCGCCCTGAGAAAGCTGGAAACCAGGGAATGACACCCCCACTAGGAATCTTTCTATTTCACCTCTGGTGGCACTGATTCTAAACAGATGTGGTTACTGTATGCTAACATCCTTGAATTTTAGCCTATTGATGAGCCTATATGCCCCAAGTTGGACCCTGGAATCAGTCACTCCTCACCCTGGGACCTACGTCACTGGTGACCATACTTATTCTGGTTCTGACAAGGGAATCCTTCTGCACAATTGCAACTGTTCATCCAACAAGATGTAGGATAATGGAGGGTCTGCAAGCATTGGTTCTATTGTAGTTGAACTGAGGGAAGTAAGAAGTTTGAACAGAGGCTGGTCCAGGGTACTGTACAGAAGGCCACAAGCATTTGCATCACTAAGAGGGCAGATGGAACCTGCAGACACTGAGACTGTGTGGTGGGTAAAATCATTTCCATTCTGTCAGCAGATGGTCTGACTATCCCTTCAAGTACAAAACATTGCTGCTAGGTGGCATATGCAAAGGAGGGAGCTCTAGTTCTGGCTACCAAAGAAGTCTGAGAGGGAAAAGTCCCAGGACCTATCTGAGTGGACCTCTGGCAGAAGAAGTGCTTTGATTAACCATTTGTCGAAGTAGGGCAAGACCTGGATCCCCTGGATCTTGAGGAAAGTTGCCACAAATTCATGAGTAAATTCTGTGGATCATTCCCCAAGTGGCAGTTTTGTCCCAGAAAAAGATCTGGGAAAAGAATATTTACTGTTTTTTTTACTGTTTTTTCCCAAACTTTGGTCACCATTTTATCCAAACTAACCAGGAAGGGAAAGGCTTTCACCCAAATGGATCTCTCAGAGAAGTACTCTTTGTATGTGACTAGTTCAGGAAGGAGCACTGAAGTCTATGATTTGCTTGGTATTGCCAAAAAGCACTGAGGAATCTGAATCCAAGAGTTCTCCATCTTCTGATTGTTGTGAGGGAGCAAACTCAGGACTTTCTTGGATATTCATCGTTTTTAAAGCAATGAGGAGAGATCGAGTTGCTATATAAAATGGTGGAAAATGAACAGAGACCTACCTGTTGCTGTTGTCTTTCTGGAAGGCAACAGTGAAGAATCTTCTGAGGTGTCCTTTCTCACTCTCAGCTTCTTGCTTTTGAGAGAGATGGCAATTCAATCCTGAGGACAAGTGTAATCCAGAGCTCACCAGCTTCATCTGGCCACTGAGAA